GGCTTTACTGGAAGATTCATGCTGACGCTGTTTCCGAGGCAATCTCCTTCAATTCCGGTGAAAAGATGCTAAGCTTTCGTCCATCCTATGACGGACATTATCAGAGCAATGTAACATCGTGACAACAAAATTCAAGCTAACGAGTCAAGAATCTCTTCACCCAACACTTTCACTCGAAATGGAAGTAAGCGCAACAATTATGAAACAAGAGTCTCCTCGAAACCCAACTTTTATTCGCATATATTATAATGAATACAGAAAAATAGGACTTCAGATAAGATGCGTTCAACTAGGTCGCCCCAACAACACTTAAGTTGAGAAAAGTAGGTAAGACCAGTTCTTTCTACAATCGTTTTTTAGCAAGTATGCTTACAAGCCTTACTCTCCTTATCATCCTAAACGAAATAGGTGGAATACATCTACTTATAAATCTAAAAATAATTAACGTATTTGATGGCTACAGCAAACACAACTCCTACCACAAAATGTGATATATGAAAATGCGTGTCTTTATCTGAAAGGCATATCTGTCCTGTGACTCAAGGACACTCGCAGCAGTGTGGCACAATGGTTAAAATGTCGAGACTGCACGCTGCATTGTCATGGTTCGAGTTCCTCTGAGAGTGTAGATAAGACCTAGACTAGATCAAGACTACCAAAATGAAAATAGCTTTAAGGAGGCAAGTTATATTTGTAGGATTGTGGGAAAATTCAACTACCATCGAATATATGCCATTTTTCTTGCAATTTATGTCGTGAAAACATCACCAATTCGCGCGAAGTATACCAGATATTGCCAACTGCTTCATGCTGAAGATGAACATGACCATTACCAAGATTGCCCTGACGGCATGACCAAATTGTGAAACTAGTTTTAATATTCAAATATGAGAGATATTCAGCCTATTTCGTCTAAGGTGATGAAGGACTGGTAGAAGAAGAATTTTCCCACAATTTCATATAGACTTGCTTTGCCAAAAGTTTTTCTCATCCCGGCTGGAGCTGACTGCAGTTTTGACCTCGAATCGGTCCGCGAACCTGCTCCCATCCTTCACTGTCGCGGTTCGAGTCCCGCTGAGGGTGTTGATAAGACCGATGCGAGGTCGAAACTGCAGTCAGCTCCGGCCGGGATGAGAAAAACTTTTGGGAAAGCAAGTCTATATGAAATTCAATGGAAACGTCAGCTCAACTCATAACATTGTTCGAAAATTCTACTACCAGTACTTCATCACCTTGGAGGAAATAGGGTGAATACCTCTCATATTACTGATTTACTGGTAGTCTCGAAACATAACTCTAATATGATGTTATTCAAAAAAAGAAGATGATAGCCTCAGGGCCGTTTGATGTCATCGCTTACCCTTGTCGTCAAGTTGCAAGGCGTCAAAAATTCCAGTTCTTTCGCGTTGCTTGTGCTGGTCTCACTAAGTCGCTTTCTTTGCGCCGACTTTTCGTTTTCGCCATCTCCTCGCTTCAGTCTGGCCACTTTCAAATCTTTCGCTTCCTGCCTGCCTACGAGGTCTCTGAGTCCGTCGCTTTCAGTGTCTTCCTCCATCTGTTCAGGCGCTGTCTTTTCGGCTCCTCTGCCGTTTTGTCCGGACTCGTTGTCGGCTCTGCCTGGCCGATCTTTAGCCGGCCACGAATGCACCTGGTCCATCTGTTGCGGCTGATGCTCCTGACGAGGATGATGCTGATGCTGATGCTGATGCTGAGTATGCTTATGATGATGGTGATGACGATGAGAAGGAGGGTGTTGCTGTTGCTGTTGATGTTGATGTTGGTACTGCTGATGCGTGAAGTGAGGCAGTTGGGCCTGTTGCTGTAGCAAAAGAGAGACGGTCGGCGTGGCGACGAGGCCTGGTTGGGCCGAGGTCTGTTCGATGGCCGAGTTGGGCGACGACTGTCGTGCCAGACGCCGGCGCTTCTGCTGGCCGCCCGTAGACGGCCCAAGCGGGTCGGAGACGCCAATAAAGGGGGACTGCTGAAGCGGTTGGCAGTGGACGTTTCGACTGGACTGGTGGTACAGTTGGTGGGACAGACCGGATACCGGTAGGGCCGGTTTGAGGCCGACCGGCAGAGGCGATTGGCCGGTATGACTGGGAGACTCTGTCTGGTGGACTTTGTCTGTCGTGGCAACAGCCGGCGTCTCTCGACGGAAGCATTCCGCCCCTCCCAGCCTCGTCATCGACACACCCCCCTCCGTCCCATCCTCCACATCCTCCACATCTTCAACAGCCTCGACATCCCCCACACACTTCTCGTCGTCTTCACCGTCTCCTAGTGACCGTCGAGCGGTCGTGTCGTCGCGTTTCGACGCCGCCGCTGCTGCTGCTGCTGCTGCGGCTGCCGCTACCGCCACCGCCATGGCCACCGGGTCGTAGGCTCGTCGTCGGACTCGTGACCAGGTCTCGAACTCACCGGCCGAGTCACCGGCCAATGCTGTCCGCTGCCTCCGTCTGCCGCCAGTTGAGCTCAGTTCCGAGGCCCAATCGTCAAGGTGAGGTGGACTCTTCTCGACTAAACCGAGTCCTGAGCCAGTCGGCTCGAGACGCGTCTCCTCGGACGCCAGACCGTTCGACACCGACGGCATACTCCCTCTGGTCAAATGGCTGCTAACCAACGGTCTCTGAGGCTGTTGTTGCTGGGCCAACAGGTCGCACATTCTGTTTCCAGGGCAAGTTAGGAGAGAAAGTAGGTCGTCGTAATGGTGAGGCTTGTGTATAGGCTGGTCAAGGGAGGGGAGTAGAGGAAAAGGTAGGCAAAACGGTGTCGTGAGAGGGAAGAAGAGGCTCTAAAGGATGTATGACAAAAAGAATAAGTGTTGTATCCACCCTGGTCGTGTAAGGTGACAGGCATTTTTCACGAAGCTTGTTTCTATGCGATCAGGACTCGAACCTGGGTTGACAAAATGGCCTCGTATATGCAGTTGATGTGCGGCCGACTGGCACAAAAATTCGGGGCGCGCAGGTCTGGAAGCATTAGGGTTTGGAAATTAAAGGAGATGGATACTTTAAAACGTCTCTTATCTGATGGTTATCAACTTTGCTCAATTTTCACACACCCTTCATCACAATTCAGAACGCTTCTCTTCCCCAGTCCGATCCTCAGTTTTGC